TTTGTGGGAAAGATGAGAGAGTCCATTCAGTTGTTTTAATTTTTAGATACTCTGATATATACTTCGAAAAATAGAAAAAATTTTTGTGAACATTTTATGGTTTTTATAATGGTTAGAAATTACAAACGAAAAACAAATTATGGAAATCGGGATGACAGCGATATGAAATTAGCTATCCAAGCTGTCAAAAATAAAGAAATGACATTACGTAAAGCTGCTAATGAATATTCAGTTCCAAAAGGTTCTCTCAACAGAAGAGTTAATAAATCAATAAAAACAATGCCTGATGATAAACCACACATAAAATTGCTTGGTTCTTATAGAAAAGTGTTATCTGATGCCCAAGAAAAAGATTTAGCACAGTATATAATCAAAATGGAGTTAGTCTTTTATGGTCTATCAATTAATGAACTTCAAAGGGTGGTGTATGACTATGTTGTACGCAATAAAATAAACCATCCATTTAATACTGAAAAGAAACTTGCAGGTCGAGATTTTATAGTTAGATTGAAACGACAACCCTTTTTGTCTATTTGAAAACCTGAGGCTGTATCCATAAATCGAGTTTTTGGTTTAAATAAGGCTGCTGTTCAAAGATATTTTGACTATCTGGAAAAACTTATTAACGAAAACCAATTTAAAGAAAATTGCATCTACAACTGTGATGAATCTGGATTAACATGTGTTCACAAGCCTTTAAAAGTAATAGCTCAAAGGTAATAAGTGAGGAGTTGCAAACTTTTTTATTTGCTTTAGTGAAAAGCCAAATTATTTTTTGTGTGTCTGTATTTATTTTTATTTTGTACTGTCTATATTTTTATAATTGTATTTTTACAGGCCAACGTGTTGTATCTTCAGTAACTAGTGGTGAGAGAGACCAAACAACAACTGTTATACTAGCTTTTAATTTTGTGGGACACTACATACCTTCTATGATTATTTTTAAAAGAAAACGGATGCTAGATTCATTGATTGACGATGCACCACCAGGAACAGTTGGACGCTGTTCTAAAAGCGGTTGGGTAGATACAAATTTGTTTATGGATTTTATAAGACACTTTGTAATACATGGAAATTGTAGCACTACAAATAAGTGTTTGTTAATTCTCGATGGTCACAAATCACACACCAAAAATCTTGATCTTCTCAATTATGCTAGCATAAGTGGATTGCATATTTTATCACTACCACCACATACATCCCATAAGCTCCAACCACTTGATCGAACTTTGTTCAAACCTTTGAAAAGTGTTTCAAAGGTTTTGAACTTTGTTCAAACCTTTAACTTAGTATGCACAACATGGATGAGAAAGCACCCAGGAAGAAGAATTACAGTTGATAAACTTTCAGGACTATTTTGTCAAGCTTATTTGAATGCAGCTACGGTGAAAAATGCTATTTCTGGATTTCAAGTAACAGGCATCAATCCTTTTAATCAAGAAATCCTTCCTGAGTCAGATTATTTTGAAAATCCATTTTTAAAAGATAGTAATACATACATAATATTTAATGAAATAGCAGATATAAATCCTGAACAATCATCTACAACTAATTCTTTAATTGGGCTGAACCAAAATTCGAATTTTCAAACATCCATTGCTAGTTTTTCAGTTAATGAAATAAATGCCTCGTTGTCAATTTCAAACTCTCAACAGCTTTCTTTTACTGATATATTTTCAATTCTAGCTATTGAAGTGAAGACAACAAAAAAAAAGGAAGAAAAGTCCGAAATTGTGACAAGCACGTCGTATAAAAAAACTTTGCAGGAGGGGTTTGAAAACAAAAAAAAAAAATTAAATATAACAAAAAAAGACTATCAGAAAAAAAGATTAAACTAAAAAAAGATGATAAAATTAAATATGGAGAAAACCAAAAAATATCAGAGTCTAGCCAGAAATGTGTCCAATGCTTTAGGTGTAAATTATGGTACCATGAAGTTTATTTTGTTAAGTTAGGGACAGAGTTTTTCTGTAAACTGTGTGTGTGCCATGATTATATTTAAACATTCTATGATCCATTAATTTATGTCTTATAGTTGAGTATAAATTGTGCGACAATTTGTTCGGATAGTGCTTAAGTTTGAACTATGCTTAATATCTATGTTTAATATTTAATATTATCTATGTTTAATATTTAATCTCTATCTTTAATCTATGTTTTCTAAGGCTTACTTAACTGTGGTTAGGTTAGCCAAGCAGGTTAATTTTTTAAGCTAAAGTTACTATATTTTTTAATATCCTTATGATCTTTTAGAATTCCTGTCGTTACTAATGTAAAAATTAGAATATATATATATATATATATATATATATGCATATGTATATATATATATATATATATATATATATATATATATATATATATATATATATATATATATATATATATATATATATATATATAAATATATATATATATTTATACACACACATATAAAAGCGTGCTAATAATATAAACTAGATTTCAAAAAACTAACGGAACCCTAAAAGTATATTATTAAAATATTATTGAGAATGCTGTTGCTGTTGCTTTGACTTAACTATTACTGATAGCTTATTTATTTGCTTTGTTTTTGATGGTTGACGGTCGCAGCCATGATAAACGTTTTTAGTACTTCGTTTAGAAATAAAAACCAACTTCAAATTCTAAATTTAGTTAAAACTGTTAAAAACTCGTGAACTAGAATAAACTTTCCATAAAGTTATGTAAATATTAAAATTTTGAGTTTTTTAATTTATAAAACTTTAAAAAAATTTTAAAACATTAATTTATTATTTGTGTCAAGGTGTAGAAAATTCACTATCAGTTATTTACACAGTTTTAAGCATCCAGATAATGTTGATCTTAGTAACATCTAGTTTTACGATACAATAGTTCAATGTCTTTTGATTTTCTTTTGTTGACTCGTCAGAGTATAAAGAAATTGATAGTATAGAAAAAAATTTTCCCTTTTTTTAATGCTTTATTGTCTTTTAAATTATTACGTGGTCTGTTAACGCTTTCCACAGCAAATATTGCCATAGCTGCAGCAAAATTTTAATAAATCGATTGGCATCGACAGAGGGTTGTGGTTTCATCGGACACTCTTTGAATCATAAACCTCTTTCTCAAGTTTAAAATGTTATTTTTATAAAAAATTAATTTGTCAAAAGTGCATTAAATTGAAAAGTCAATTAAATAGGTATTAGGTTTAAAAGTCCTTCAAAATTTTAATATGTTGAAAAATTAATAATTTATGTTATAACTCAAATATGAATACTCAAAAGTTCTTCTTAACCTAAGATTTTAGAAAGTTTAATATTAGATTAAGTTTTAAACCAACGTTTAAGCTGGCTAATAAAAGTATGCTAATAAAACCATAAGAAACCATAAAGTAGGCTAATAAAACCATAGAAAAGAATAACTAGAAACCAAAACTGATTTTTTAGATTATGACACTAAGCAACATAATCTAAAAAATCTGTTTTGGTTTCAAAAGTCTTTTGAAATTAGTTTGGTTTCTAAGCATAGACACTGATGATCAAATATTTAAAAGTAAAATATTAATACAAGTCAAATCTAAATACAGCATCAAATATACTTACAGTAAAATTCAGAAAAGACATCAAATTATATCAATTTTTTTTCTTTTTTAAAAATAAGTCTACCAACTGTCTCATCATCTGAGTCATTAAAGTTTATCCAAAAAATAATACTAACAACCTAATTTTTTTAACTAAAACCTGATGTTAATTTTCTTAATTAAATAATCTTTTAAGAAGAAATTTAAGAAGAAATTTAAAAAGAAATTTAAGAAGAAATTTAAGAAGAAATTTATATAGGAAAGCAAAGAACTTTAAAGGAAAAGATTTATCACTACCTAGAAAATTGACAGTTAAACCAAATGAGAATGTCAAAGTTTAATTTCTGCTCATCTAAGGGAAATCAGTTAGAAAGTGTAAACTTTTTTGTTAAATGCTTTTCAACTGTGCTCTGTGACAAGGCAGGTATGCCTTGATGAAGCATTTTAATAACAAAAAGAAAAAAAGATTTATCGTTTGAATTTTCGTTTATTTCTTTTAATTTTATAGCTTCATTGCTAAACTCAAAATGTTTTTAACGTGAAAGCAGTAGCGTATCGAAAAGCTATACTCTCCTCCCTCCTTCACTTACACTCACCCTCTCATTTTGAAAAACAAAAAATTAAAGATATTTATCGGTTTGCGCTTCTATGACCTTCGCCCCTACTTTTACGGCAGCTTAATGCAATGTTACTGGGTAGAAGTAAATTTAACTCCATATATATAGAATTTCAATGAAAAAACTAGTCAACAGCTATAATTTTTTTTTTCTATAAGTCCACTAAAGTTTTAAAAAAATAATGCCTTTTTTTTTATATAAGCCTATTTATTTGTAATTGCTAAAAAAATCTTAATAGAAACAATTTATTAAAATTGCTTTATTTAGGCTCGATACAACATAATTCTAATACATAAATATAATAAAACAAATGGTAAAAAACCTATGTAAAAGAAAAATGTAAGAAAATAAAAATTAGTTCTAAATTGAAATTTAATTTTTTAAGAAGCTAAAAAGTAAAATTCTGATTTTATTGTAACAACTCCTAATTATAAAAATATAAACGTTTGATATTTTTTGGAACTTTTTTTTCTCTTAGCAACATTGCCCTTGTTGTTTACAAGTGTGTTATTTTTTTTACAAAAACATTTTTTTTTCCTAAGTGATATCATCTGTCTTCTTGTCTTATTAATCTATTTAAAATAAATCTAAAATCTGATACTGTATGTTTTCTTTTTTTACCAACATAATCAGAGCCTTACCGACAAAGGGGTGGAAACCCTTAAGAAAAATCAGCTTTTTATTTTTGTAAAAAAAAAGAACTAATGACGCAAACTCTAGGTTCTAACTTTAAAGTTAAAGTTGAACGTTACTCAAACTTGCTTCGTCTAATCTACCCTTAGAAAGCTGTTTAAATCAAAATATACTTTTAAAATGTTTACCTTTTCGTTCAAATTTGATCTTAAGGATAAAAGTTGCAAAAATAAGTTGCACTGCTTTTATAAATTTTTAAGTAAAACGGTTTGTGCTTTATGTATACTATTTGTAATGTTTATATAAGCATTGGTTATTTACAATCAGCTGAATATACATGTAAAACCAATGACGTCCGATATACTTTCTCATAAAAATTACTTGGTAACTCAAACTCCTGATAACTCAAACTATTGACGGTAACAAAAAATTTGACGATAATATGTTACAAAATATTAGCATCTTATTTCTATGATTTGGAAATGCTCTACCGTTTTGGTTGTAACAATAGACAATTTTGTATAGCACTAGCTATCGCAAGACTCACGCCCCCCAAATGTACAAAATTTTATATTGCGGTTTCTTGATGACAACAACTTTAGTCTTGTGCAATTTTTCCGTGTACTTAAAACAATGCCAATACTTTACAGCCTGAATAATACAATACTCCTGAATTTTTATTGTTTATAATAACAACAACAAAAAAAAAAAAAAAAATTCAAACTAACTCAACTAAACAACGTGCAATGCTTACATATAAGTAATCAAATATAAACATTTGTTTACACAATATGCACAAATAAAAAGTTTAACTTTTAAAATCAAATCTTTTAGGTAATAAGTTGATAAATCATCTTAAATTTATTTTTGAAAATGAGGATTTTCATCATTTGCACTTTTATTATTTTTGTTGCTGGAAAAAGTAAGCGTAAATTTTGTTAATGTTCAGAAAATATTTAAAATATAAACAATATTATATTAGATTATACAGTAAATATCCGTTAAACACTTTAAGTCGAATATCGGTTAACTCGATCTTTTGTTATCTTGACTCTTTTATTTGGTCCCATGAAATCGCATATTGATTACTATTAAAAATCTCCGGTTAAGTCAAACCCCGGATAATTCGAACATTCGTTAATTTAAACCATTTTCTTAGGTCACATGGAGGTTTGAGTTATCGGGATTTTTATTAAAACAATTAATTAATGTTTTAAAGAACTAATTTTTTTGTCTAAAACAATATTGGGGATAAAATTGTGAATATATAATCTTATATATAATTTATTTATATAATTTGTTTATATATAATTTATTTAAGTTTATACAAATTATTTATTATTATATATTACATTATAAGCTTTTAAGTAATTGAATAACCTTTGTATGTAATAATAAATAAACATATAAATAATTTAAATAATAGTTATACAATAATAATGATAATGATAATAATTATAAAAATACGAGTAATGAACCTATAGCACACCCCAGAGAAAGTAGGTTCAGGGCAGAAAAAAATATCCCTGGGTCATGCCATACCTTTTTTAAACTGTACCGATGTCTACTTTAAAAAAATAACACCGAAGAAAAATTTTGTCGGTATCTAAATAAAATAAAAAAAAAAAAACATTTTGTAAAAACACTGAAGCCGAGATTTTCACTTATACGCGCAACAAATATATAATTCAGCCATAAGTTATTCCAACATACATATTTGAAAAACTTTTGAAGTCTCAAAATGTTTACAGTAGAGAGAGATTTTAATTAATGGCTGATATGTTCTTATATCAATAAAAATTACTGAGTTATTAGACAAAATGTAAAACTAATTTTTTTGACAAACATTTTAAATTGTTTAACTCCGTAATGTTAAAAAACCATACTGATGTCTTGTGAAAGACATCAGTATGGTTTTTTAACATTTTTGCATTATCTCTAATCATACCAAATGTCTTAAAAAAATATATATAAGTTTAAAAAGTATAAATTAAGTAAAAATATAAATTAAAAAAATTTGAGTTAAAATATCTAGCATGATTTTTTAGTTGTGCAAATTGAAACAACTTTAATAATGATAAACCGACTCCTTAACTTTGTGTAACCACAAATTGTAAAATCCTGCATGTCCTGGTCTGAAAGTTCACACCAACTGCATGAATGAATAAAGGAAAATATGATAATTTGAATAAACTTTTTGATACAAGTAAAGATGAAATTATGGCAGGGTATAGTTTATAATCCAGGGTATAGTTTAATATCCTCAAACCTTGTTTTGGGGAAAACGGAAACTTTATACAGACAGAACTTTCAAACGCTAAAATTAAATTTGGAATTTGGTGATGAATATGAGTAGAAAATAATCAAGAAATAGCATAAAGCTCAGTAAATTGCTGTCTTCACGTTTAAAGCTGGCGAAGCGCTTTTCTTCTTTTCTTCATCACCTCTGTCAATCGACGAATGATTGAAGGTACAGATCTATGTCGTGACAATCAACAAATGAATGAAATCATTTTTTTTACTATTTAACTTAAAGAAGCAGTTCAACATCTCACGTTTTTTTACGAATATTTACGAAACAAATACTGTACTGTTGGTAGTCCAATTAATAATACCTGCATATGTTGTTACAAGTTACATTAAACCAAATTAATATAGTGAAACATTATACGTCTCCATTTATTATAAAGAGGCGCAGCCTAATTCACAAATAAACTACTTTGCTATAACCCCAGTGCTAGATTAAGCCTAAGTCGCCTATGTTTTAAGTGAACAAATACAGTAGTACATAATACTGTAACAAATAAAGTTTTAACAATACATTTTAGACCTTTTTTTTAACTAGTTCAGTAGTTTAGTTTAAAGCTAGTGAAACTCGTTGTTTGTAGTCGGTTCATGTAATTTGCTTTGGAATTGAATTTCTTTTCCAATTCAGACATACCTTACCACTTAAAACACTCTTTCTTTTCCAAGAGTTCGGGTCATCTTTCCAATATACTCTCACTCATTAGTAACTTCTACTACTTCGTTTTCCATGAATTCCATTTCCAAATATTGAATAAGAGTACTATTAAAACTTATAAAAGCTTTAACACACAACAAAGCCCCTTCTTTCTCAATAATGGTATTATTCTGTTGTGGAAAGCCCTAGAACATTTGATAAAAATATTACGGTTTGTTATTTTCATAATTATTATTTAATAACAATTTTCATAATTATTACTTGATAATAATTTTCATAATTTTTATTAAACAATAATAAATATGTAAAGCAATTTTTCAATGAAAATTTGATGACTGTTATTCAATATAAACTTACCTAAAAATTTGCGAAAACCAAAACTTGATTTATTGAAGATAAAATCGCCACATCCCACAATATACCAAAACACTACTTATCTCAATTAAGTAAACTTTGTGACTTAACCCTCTTTTAACATAAACCATTTCCGCTAATTTTTATCATAATTATATTTATCACACATTTGTATGTTTCCTAATTAAACTATTATTTAGCCTATATTTGCATAATTCTTTCTATTTTTGTCGAACATTATTATTTTTGCATTTATTTTTATATTTCACATTTTAATTTTTGGATAGATAAGACAAAAAAGGTTACAATCTTAACAATAAATAATATAACAATTTATCTAGATCATCGAAAAGTATATTCAGAATATCAAAGAAGCATTGATATGTGCAATGTGCGAGAAGATCCTAAATATCCGGAGTGTAAAGAGAAGATTTTAGTAAGTTAATGAAATTAAAATTCAGGTAGATAAATAGTTAAGCAAATAAAAAAGTTATGTCATTCTTTATTGCGCAAACGAACATAATAAATAGTTTTCTAAAAGGCATTTTAAAATTATTCTTATTCCATACAAAAATTTCAATTTAAAAAATAGTCAGGAATTTGGTTCAGAACATCTTTGCAGTTTAAAGTCACTTCTATCTATTAACTATTTGTTTGGCCTCCAACAAACGATACGACACTTATTTTAAAATACAAAGAAGAGTTTAAAATTGTAAGAAGAAGTTGTGATGAGGAGAAGTTTTTTATTTATTTTATTTTTATAAATCAAAGTCTACAGATTTTTATGATGCGAGTAAAATGCGGATGAAACAGCAAAACAAAAAACATTTGTTTAATTTCATACTTTTTTTTGAGTTTTCATAAAATATTTTTAACATTATTCAAAAAAAATCCAGAAGTTTCATTATTAAAACAATAAATCACACCATAAACTATATTGCTTTTAATTTATTTAAATAAAATATATAAATTATAATTGGTTATATTAAATTATAATTGGTTAAACACTTCTTATGATATTCCAATTTAAATGAAAATAGAGAATTAATAAATATTTAATTTTTGAGAATTAGTTAATTTTTATTTATCAATTTTGATAAAGAATTTAAAGCTTTCAAATCATTCAATTGATTGCAGTTGTCGAATTAAAAACCATTTAACCAACCATGCAGTACTCGAGTTACTAAAACATATTCCCGGTGAATTCAATGATGACTGTTTTACATTAAGGGTTTTTATTGATTAGTCTAAAGCTTTGACACTGTAAGTCACCCCATCACTATCAAAAAACTCAAATCCTACGGAATTTAAAAATATAAATTGGTTTATAAATTGATTGTCAAATAGAAAACAATACGGATCATTATGAATCAGTAGAAACATCTGAAAAAACTATAATCTGTAGGGTTCCCCAAAACTCAATTTGGGACCCCTACTGTTTGTTATGCACATCAAAGAACTACATTTTGCATCTATTCTATTAAATTTATTTTATTCGCAGATAATTCCAATCTTTTTTATTTTAGTAAAAATATCGAAAGATAAAAATATTTTTCAAAAACTAAATAAAGAATTAAAAAAAGTGAATGCAGCGATGAATTGAAAATAGAATTAATAATAGAATTAAAAAAAGATTATGCATTTTTAAAAAAAGTGAATGCAGCAATGAATTAAAAATAGAATTAATAATAGAATTAAAAAAAGTGAATGCTATCTTTGAATGTGATAAAAACAAAATTCTTATTATATAACAAATTGAATCAATCAAAAATTATCCTTTCTATGCTACCCGCACACGTCATCAATAAAACTTATATTAAAAAACAATCATTTGTGAGTTTTATAGATGTTGATTTTGTTGAAACTTTATACTAAAAAATTCAAAGAAAAATTTCAAAAATATTTGCTACTTTATACAGAGTTAATCCATAAATGTAAAACCCCTAAAATGTCTGTATTTTGTTCTTTAATCTATGGCAACTTAGTTTGGGCTGGCACGAATCACAATAAACCAAGTAAACTATACAACAAGTAAAACATACCTGCAGAATTTTGTTTGGAGTCAATAAAAATATTCCTTTTAAACATTCTTTTCCAAATTTAGGTGCACCTAATTTTTTTAAACTTTATGTTCATCTTGTTTTACAGTTAACAAAGCAAAGTGCAGACTGTCTGCTAAAATGTTTAATTCTTATTTTATTCATAATCACCCTCTCATCAGAAAACATCTCCCATGTTTCAAAACATCTCCCTTGTTCCAAAATCAAAATGTTCTTACTCTAATCAAAATCGCGGACTTTTTTTGGGGGAACAATTTCCAAATATTAGTGCTAAAAAAAACTATTTTCAGCAATTGAAAACTAAATGTAAACGATACCTCTTGCTGTCAAATTTAGATATATATTAAAATTTAAATGTTTCTTTTGAACAATATACGAACTTTAAATTTTTTTTTAAAATAATATTAACTGATAAACAAAAAGGCAAACTAAACAAATTGGAAATTAAAAAATATTAGAGAACACATTTTAAAAGTCTCATAGCATTATTTATTTGTAATTTTAATTTGTTATTATTTTATTTGATATCCAAAAATGTAAATAAGCCAAAAAACTCTGCTCAGTGATAAAACTGTGTTCTTCTTGCTCTGGCTTTAATTTTTCTTCTAATTTTATTAATATTAATTTTATATATTATTAGATTTTATATATTATTAGACGGCTATATATATATATATATATATATATATATATATATATATATATATATATATATATATATATATATATATATATATATATATATATATATATATATATATATATATATAGACTTAGACTTAGTTATAATAATAAAAATGTTTTTAATATGTTTCTATCTATTCTGATTATTAAAAAAACTATTTAAAAAGAAAATACTTTTCATAATTATTTAAAGTTTTCAATGGTGTTAAAAAACTGTGACACTTCTCCAAGAAAACTGAACGATCTAAACACAATCGAGCTAGCACACTTACTTTGGGCAAACGTATGTAAATACAACGCGAACGTCGGCTGTTTTCTCCAAGGCATATACAACGGCTGTTTTCTTTGATGCAAATAGCAATGATTCAATGCTAGTTTTATAATATTTAAAACAATGAAAACCTTAATAACGGCTTGATTAAAAATAGTTAGGAAAATTACATTAGCCCAACTTATGTAAAAAAATCGCAAAAGTTGGTTGTTTTTTCCAATGAAAACCCTACGCTGATTATTATTGATAGATATTGGGATCAACGTTGATCAAATGTTTATAACACCACGATGATCCAATGTATAAGGACTAACGTTGATCCAATGTTTGTAACCCAACGTTTATCCAATGCACACGGGTTAACGTTGGATTATATACATTGGATCAACGTTGCGTTTGCATCGAGAAAAAGCAGATATACAAATATATATTTTTATAAATTATAGGAATTATTTTTCATCTAAATATTTCAGTTGGTTGTGGAAATATATTTTGCTAATATATTTTTCTCTTTCTCATAAAACAAAATATCAAGCTTTTATTCAGATGCGTGTTTAAAGTATAAACAATAGTTATAATAAGTATAAACAATCGCCATCAGCAATGTTGATTCATCAAAAATAGATGACATATTTATGTATAAGTACACATATACCTTTATATATGCGTATGAAAATATAATATGTAACGTGTGTATATATATATATATATATATATATATATATATATATATATATATATATATATATATATATATATATATATATATATATATATATATATATATATATATATATATTGTTGTTTTGATTATTTGATAATAATCAACTCTTTTTCGATTTGAGAGTGATAAATATAAAGTGAAATAATCACAAAATAGATCAATAAATAAATAAAAGGTCAGATGAGAAAAAACAACTTTTTTACGGTACATAAAGTTTCATGCCGTTTTCGGCACTCATCAGCTATATATTTAAATCAAGAAAAATCCGTTCAAAAATATAATTAAAAAACCGTTACAAAATTAAAAAAAATCAATGGAATGAGTTCTGACGTCAAATAATTTTAATACAAATAATAGCAATAATAATAATAATGATAATAATAGCAATAATAATAATATTATGGAAAAAACATCTATTCTAATCGCCAGTGTCAAATTGAGAAAGGAGGAATCTGTTTCTATGTCTGCACTTAGAAACAATCTTACTCCTTTTATTTAATAGATTAGTATTTTTATAATTTAGGATTTCATATTTTTCGGTGAGACATAATTTACAAGATTTGGATGTAGGATTATATGCTTTACATCGTCTGAGAATTTTCCGCTTAACTATAGGAACTAAATTGGCTTCTTTTATTTTCCATACCTGCTTTGACAGCTCAGTATCATTTTTGTATTTTGGGATGTTAAAAGATTTAACGTGGTTAGCGTATCTCAATTTAAAAGAAGTCTCACTTACACCGATGTAGAATTTTTCGTTAGGAGATGAATCACTAGTGGTGGTTACAGTTGCTTGGTATACAATGTTGCTTGTTAAACATCTATTGGACAACGGGCAGAAATTTTTATCTAAGCAGTTACAATTTTCTTGATTAGAGTTTGTATCGTTGTATAAAATGTATTTGTTGTGCGAATTTATGATCGATTTCACACTTGGCATACAACTGTAGCTAACTTTGACTGTGTTCCTGTTAAAGATTTTATGTAGTTTGTTATTATTAGGAAAATGTTTGCCAAAACGGCGCGGAGGTTTGTGAGCTTCTAGGAATATTTCTTCTTTTCGAAATTTCAAAATTTTATAACAAGTTTGAGGTTGGTTTATACCGTGACGATGGATTAGCAGTTTTTAGGAATAAAAGCGGCCCTCAAATGAAAAAAATTAAAAAAGCATCTTTCCGAAATATTTAAATACAATGGCTTACGGATTTCTATACAATGCAACATGAAAATTGTCAACTACCTCGACGTCACTCTAAATCTTAGTGAGTGCACATTTAAACTTTATCTCAATCTTGATAATACATTAAATTATATCCATGCTGATTCAAATCACCCTCCAAGTATACTAAAACAAATACCACACTCGGTTGAACTTAGATTATCTACAAATTCTTCTACCAAAGAAATATTTCAACATGCTGTTCCTCTATATAATAAGGCTTTATTAAAGTCTGGTTTTAAATGTAATCTAACATATAATCCTAAAGCAATATCAACTAAAAAACGGAACAGAGCACGCAACATCATTTGGTTTAATCCTCCATTTAGCAAAAATGTTAGCACCAACGTGGGAAAATGTTTTTTGAAATTCAATGCTCCTGGAAAAATAACTAGAGGTTTTTGGTAGTTTCTATCTCCAGATACACAGCCAAGAACTGTTTTAGTTTTTTAGTGATTTGCGTTTTAGTATCAGGGGC